AAAAAAAAAAAAAAAAAAAAAAAAAAAAAAAGAAAGAAAGAAAGAAAGAGAACGTACGTACACTGAAAAGATCTGCCGAGGCTGTGTGCCAGCGGAAAGATCTCGATTTATAGTCTTTCTCGCATTACGTTCGAACGATTAACCTCTAACGATTCTAGTGGCGTCGCGGAGAGGACACGTGGTACGTGATCGAGGCTCGCCCAATCGGGGGCCAACTTTTGAAAATGAATATCGTCGCAACAATGAACATTGGCGATACGCGAAATAAATAGCAATATCTAACAACGTTCAACGTCGTTGGCCTCGGTATTATTAATCGTGCTGATGCGTCACAAAATATGCGTGACAACAGCGGCGAACCGACTGAACGCTGTTGCATATGACAGCGAGAGAGCGAGGGAGCGACGAGTCTCTGTGGTGTCTAGGTTATGTCAGCTACATTTCCAACGTCTCAAGCGCGTTGCTCGTACGAGCGTACGAACAATATCGAGTAACAACGAGAAAACAATAAGCAACGATGCATAAAGCACAGAGAAGAGAAATAAATGATCTGTCTCTGAGGCAGGGGTTAGTTCACTACGACGGGGCAGCACTGTCCAAAGCACTGACAGGCAAACCAAAACACAGAACGGAGCGAGTCAGTTGAGAGAATTGTTCGGCACGGATCGTCGACATGGTGGAGAGTACGATCGACCGAAACACGACACAGGTATATACCCTAACCTTCGTTGGGAGGATTAGTCCGACACAGGGCTAGCAGCGGGAAGCGACGCTTGCTGGATTTAACGCACGGTGCTTTCGCAGAAGACACTAGACACACAAGAGACTCCGTCGCTCTATTTTTCACACGATTCACACGCACAGCACAGGATTCTGCCGATTCTTTGTCTAACGGGTATTGCTTCGTGGCTGACGACACTCACCGGGATGCTTGTTGGCGATCTTATTGAAGCAGTTCTGAAAGACCTCGTAGAGATGCATCGGCTCGTCGTCGCTGGCCGCCATGTTTTCACGAGACGAGAAAACGAGTGGACGTTCGTGGTTGAGGCGAGTGGGCACGGTTTCGCGGTGTGGCCGCGCGTGGAGCCACCCTCCTCCCGGAACGGTCACGCACACTACTGAACCACGCCGCCTCACCGATGCGGCTCTTATAGCCCATCAGTGGCGCCACTCCTTCGCCGTTCAGCCGCGCCACCGTCGCTACGCGCTCGTTTTGAATTTCATCTTCTCCTCTTTCGCAACACCTTCGCAAAAAATACATTTACCGTTAAATAAGCTACATTTATTATTATAGAGTTTATCCTAGAGTAATGTAAACTCTAGGCTTGTAATATATACGAGATGTTGTAATCACGAGATCACGGCCCCTGAAAACTAAAAGAATCCAGGCACTCGGTTGCAGTGAGAATTTTTATTCACATGTTGCGAGTACAAATAATTGTACAGAATAAAATCTATAGTCCGAATGCGTACGAAACGTATTGTTGGATCGAGCTTTATTATAATAATATAATGTATACGGTTCTTCCGTGTTTCGCGTATCGACAAATTAAAATCCTAGATTGCATTGAACGTTATCGTTGTTAGAGATTCTGAAATACATATATAAGTAAAGGTAATATCTAGATGTCAGTAACGTGATCATACGTGCGCGTACTTCTTACGAGCTACGAGAGATATGATTTTGCAATGTTATCGCGTATCGAACTTTAGTAGTAACGTCATATCGTGTTTTTAAACTCCGGCGAAATCGGAATTTTGTGGAATTGGGTGAGATATGTCCTCGTAATCCTGTCGACCAAAGCCTAGAATAAAAAAACATTCATAAACCTCTGTTCCCATATCCCCCTTCAAATTGTAAAACCATATGCACAACAGAGAAGGATGACACAACATGCACAGTTCAAAAAATAGTTGCAACTGAAATGAATACATGTCATAAACAGTTTGTATTAAGCACTACCATACTTAAATTATGCGATATAACACGCATAGTTGGAAACAACAAAAAAAAAAAAAATGTCATGCACCTACTTAAAGCACAACATTGGAGAAGCAATGGAGGCCTACAAAACATCTGTATCCAATGTATTACTGACCCATTGCAGGACTCGTAGCGAACATTGTGGCTAAACATCCACCTCTTGCTTGGCCTATTCGCAGAAGATATACGCTTGTGACGATGCGAACGATCATGTTTATGATCATAATTGCTGCGCTAAACTTCTCAGATGCATCTACAAGTTCGTGCGATCAGATAGATATATCTTCTGTATAAGGAGGTTAATCAACAATATAATTTATCAAGCTTTAGGTGTTAGTCTTAAATTCAATAATCAAGTGGCAACAACTTACATGTTGTTGGGAAATAGACTGCTAATGTTATTATGTCAAAAAATATGGAAAGTATATTTATAAAGAGTGCCTAAAATATATAATTCTGTTACAGTTACTCAGTATTATATATCAGTATTGTATATGTATCATGTATCAATGGCAAAATGCTTACAAATTGCAAAGGTTCATCTGATTCAATATTGTGAATAGCCCATAATAAGCAGACGAAGAAAAGAAAATTGTAAAACATTACAGACTTAGGACACCAATATCCCTGAACGCTCCTAAAAGTTCATCGTTTAACTATGTAGTGTACAAATGCATTCCACGAATTGCAATGCTTTGTAATACTTTCTAAATTGTACATTAATATACAGTGAACAAAAAATTTATTCTTACCATGTTACTAGGACTAAATGAATTGCAAATATCACCTGAAAAAATCCGACAAGATCATAAAACATGATCTCAAAATGCAAAGTGAATAAAATGTTTCTAGGCAACGGATACTTGAAAATGCAATTGCGGTACGGTAACAACCGCCTCGATAACACGAGAAACTTGTCAAACGGGTTACGGAATTGTTTCATTGCCGTGTGCCTTTACATAATTCTGTTTCACTCTTTCGGGAAAACATGCATCATCACCGAAAGGCGTGATTACGGTAAAGCGTCCGTGAAATGCAATTACAATTTCAGAGGATTATCTGACATCTGTTCTTCTCGTAATCGGACACACTGGATATCGAACAGAAATAATAGTCGCACGCAATCGCGCGGGCGTAAAGCAATAACAAAGCAAAATGAAACGAAAGTAAAGAGAAGTACGGCGTGCAACGAATTGTACTTTAAAGAAAGAAGCAAATGAATCTAGTGTAGGATTATTCAAGGAAGTGGCAAATTCAATGTTGCAGCAACGATATATTTACCTTTAAGGGGTAATGAGTCAGACTGGATATGTCCGGCATTTTTTAGCTCTCAAATTTTTCTCTCTCAATTGATCTAATAATATTTCACGTTCTTTGCTTTTGCGACAACTGTTGCCAGGTACTTGTCAACCGAGACAGAGTCTGTTGTTTGCTCACGATTATCAAAATATTCGACGAACTTCTTCCTTCTTCCGTCCCATCAATGCAACACAAAGGGGACACTGTGCAACGACGTTTCTACAGCGACATCTATCACGCAACATCGATCTCAGCGCCATCTATAAACGAAAGACATATAAATCACTTAAACTAAGGATTTCAAATTTATCTGATAACTTTAATATAATACTGTCTTGCATTTCGATTGAAAGAAAAAAAAAATACTAAATCTACTCTGAACTGTTAATAAAAATAATATATATTTCCATGTTTCGTTCTCGTGAAAATCAAATCAAAAACACCATAAAGGTTAGAGCATGTTTTTCATCGTGATCAATGACCCTGCGTGACCCAAACACCGCGTTATCTCTGTCTTTACGACACTCTGATAAATAGTCAGATGCAGTTGCATGTTACTCTTGCCATGTATCACGATGAAAAAACAGCATCCGAACTGTGAGTAACTTCACTAAGATGGCAGTGTGACTCAGCTCTAGAAATATATTGTTGCAGCTGCTGTGCGAACCGTGCGTAAAGTGTAGTGGATACAATAGACACTACAGTAGTAGATAATTCACGAAGAGTGAAGAGAAAGATTGATAAAATGATGCTGAGGAAAGGAAATCTTTTCATAAGAAATTTACGTTACATTACAAGAATGTTTCACAACGAGGCCATTACTATAGGCAGCGAGCAAGACACCAAGTCACCGGAGTACCAGGTTAGAATTAGAGTACACGCGCATTTTGTTCCTAAACGAGCCGTTCTGAAGCTAATTCTCGAAGAATTTTATTTCTGATTGACGTTACCTTGTCGTTTTGAAAGGCGTTTTGTAAGCTCTTGCGGCGCGAATGATGCAAATTTTTATTTTCTTCAGTGTGATAAAGTTGAAATTGTTCATCTAAACACGCTCGCGTGTGACGCTCACGACTGCGCAGCCGACTCGCGACAGTTTTGGCGCGTAATACGAACATTACGAACGTCGCGCGCGCGTCTTTTTCCGCAATTTATTGAAAACGAAGCAACGTTTCAAATAATAAAAATAATTGATCCTCGGTGATGGCTGTCGATAATCTTTGTCGCATAAAGTGAAACTAATAAACAAAATTAAACGAATCAAATGAATTAAAATCATGTAAATTGTAGTTATCATCTATGATTTAACAATCTGTAAAAGACAAATCTGTGGAACTAAACGCAAGATATTTCCAGGAAAATTACGTACAAATGAAATGTCTGGTAGACAAGTTAAAAAAGACAGTCGAGAAAATCGTAGAAGGTGGGGAATACAAGGCGAGAGAAAGACACGTAAAGAAAGGGAAACTTTTACCGCGAGAGCGAATTAACACGCTTCTCGATGCGACATCTCCTTTTCTCGAATTTTCTCAACTAGCTGGCTTCGAATTGTACGACAACGAGGAAGTGCCAGCTGGTGGAATCATCACTGGCATTGGTAGAGTAGAAGGGTAAGTTATCGAAGTTATCAAACTCGGAATAAATTTCATTAAAAAAAAAAAAAAAAAAAAAAAAAAGTATGTTAAAAATGTATATATACCATTTAGCACCGAATGTGTAATAATTGCGAATGATCCGACTGTGAAAGGAGGAACCTACTATCCAATCACGGTGAAAAAGCAGCTAAGAGCGCAAGAAATTGCGGAAGAGAATCATTTACCATGTATATATTTAGTAGACAGCGGTGGTGCCAATTTATCTAGGCAAGATGAGGTGTTTGCAGATAAAATGCATTTCGGACGGAGCTTCTACAATCAGGCTATTATGAGTTCAAACGGGATCGCGCAAATTGCAGTAGTAATGGGAAGTTGTACGGCAGGTCTGACCACGCTTCGTTTATTCCACTTAAACCTCTCACTCAACGTTATTACACGGCAATTATTCGCAACGACATCTGATCAATTTATGCAGGCGGTGCGTACGTGCCAGCTATGGCCGACGAGAACATAATCGTTGGCAATCAAGGAACCATATTCTTGGCTGGTCCACCGTTGGTGAAAGCTTCAACTGGCGAAGACGTAACCGCGGAGGATTTGGGCGGTGCGGCGCTTCATTGCCGGTAATTAAACATGTACGTTTGCAGGTCGCTTTTTACGATTATATAGTTTCAGAATGTTCGTTTCAGTACCTCTGGAGTGACCGATCATTACGCCGTGGACGACACTCACGCCTTGTACTTGGCACGACAGGTTGTAAGGGACTTGAACAGGCAAAGACCGATGCACGTGAACGTGGACAAACAGGTGGACATACCGTTGTACCCTGTCGATGAAATTTATGGCATAGTCGGTACTAACTTAAAACGACCGTATGACGTAAGAGAAGTGATCGCGAGGATCGTCGATGGATCGAGATTTCGCGAGTTCAAGGCTCAATACGGGGAAACGTTGGTTACCGGGTTCGCGAAAATTTACGGTTACCCTGTGGGAATAGTGGCGAATAATGGCGTGCTGTTCTCGCAGAGCGCGTTAAAGGGTACACATTTCGTGCAGCTCTGCGCCCAGAGAAAGATACCGCTTATTTTCTTGCAGAATATTACAGGTAACGTGTCTCATAGAACGAAATTACTTCGTTCCCACAACTAATAGGATTGGCCATTGTAAAACTGCAGGGTTTATGGTGGGCAAGGATGCAGAGGCCGGAGGCATTGCTAAAAATGGAGCAAAGATGGTGACTGCCGTTGCATGCGCTCGAGTACCGAAAATTACGGTGGTGATCGGTGGCTCGTACGGAGCAGGAAATTTCGGTAACGTACCACGTTCACTGCCACACGATTTACATTTACTTTGCATTCCTCAGTTTATAGCATTATACAATTATTTATGTTATTTAAAATTTTTGTTAACGACATTGGTCTTATTTAAACCGTTCTGAAACATTTATCATGAATAAATTGCTGTTTGAATTCACTAATTTCCATACGTAGGTATGTGTGGTCGAGCTTATTCACCGAGGTTCCTTTATACCTGGCCAAACGCCAAAATATCCGTGATGGGAGGACAACAGGCCGCGGATGTGTTTGTGCAAATTACCAAGCAGAAACGCATTCGCGATGGGAAACAGGTACGATCTTTACAATTCGTTAATTAATTTTGATACTAATGTTGCCATTTGCGACAGTGGACCACAGAGGAAGAGGAGAACCTGAAGAGACCGATTATAGAGAGATTCGAAAGGCAGGGTAGTCCATACTATGCCAGTGCCAGGTAAATTTGCGTTATATCTTTGTTACTTTTTTCACTTTCACAAGAAGATAACGATTAGCTTATTTGTTAAGTTATAAGCTAATTTAATTGTATGCTCATTCAAGTACATTGTTCTTCAGACTTTGGGACGACGGTGTGATCAATCCAGTCGACACCAGAGTGGTATTAGCTCTCAGTCTATCGGCAGCGCTAAACGCACCCATACCAGAAAGTAAGTTCGGAATTTTCCGAATGTAAAAAGCTTGCCTGTTCAACAATGACCTGCCAATGACCTGCAATTATGAAAGCACGACTCGACGTCTGTAGCTTCTCCTACGATATTTCAGGCCAAAGATATATTTTTTTATGCAGAGTTATCATCCATATACGATTGTTAAACATTCCATGTATATAAGTGTCTTGTGTGTTTCTATGCTCGCATGTCTTTATTAGCCTTTCTCTCTTTCTTAACGCGACTACAATGTAGGGACGTCTCTTCGTGGATCGCGGAATAACGAGCACGCGTCCTCCTCACGCTTTATTACGAAGTTATTTTACAGTATGCGCGTTCCGTTATAATTATCATTGAGATTACAGCAGTAATTAATTATCTGGTAATTGTCTATGTTGCTTAAGTCACATCACGTTGTTACACCTCGTCGCGCGACTAGGTCTCATCGACATTCTCCGCTCGCAAAGGCCAATTTTCTTCTGGCAGTATAGGGGCGGCTGTATTGTTATGCGGTTTACTCGCGAGGATTACAGCTGAGTAGCATGAAGTGATGCGGATTAACGAGAACGGAGAAGAGGTGAGCGAAAATTTGGCGGTCGCTGAGCGGAGAAATTTCCTTGAGCAGATGCTAGTTAACCAAAACTCGAAGCTTTGCGATTATCCTCCTTATACAAAGATCCCCCTTCTATATATTCAGAACAGTCAATCACAATTCTAAGATCATAAGAAGACCGTAATTCTTCCTATTGACATCATGTTCGTAACAGCCGATGATGTCAACTGAACCGGAATGCTTGAAATTGTCAACTCGATCGTACCGACATCGTACGAAGTAAACTCACGATCAAATATTTCTTCCTACGTAGAAAAAGGGAAAGAATTATACTGAAGTCTCCGGCTGAACACTCGATCCATTCCTTTCCACAATATACTCGAATCTTGCCGGTTCTCAAGCTGCTTTTTTTTTCTATTTACACTCAGCAATGTCGTTCATCGGTCTGCAGGATCGTCCTCTTCGAGTCTTACAAAAATTTGCAAAGACAAAGGAGAACGAGGACGGAAGGTAAAACTGACGTTCTACACGTGGAGCCGTTGATCTCCGTTTCGGTAACTTTGTACTTGAACTGTTCTTTAACTTCTTGCGCTATGAAAGCTCTCTCCTCCGTCCTGATTGTCGTCGGAGCTGCTTGCTCTCTAACTTCCTCCGCGATCACAGCCCTAGCTTTTGTCCTGTTCTTCCCTCTTCTGATGTACAACTCGGACAGAGCTGTTAAATATAAAAGTTTATTATTAAATGGAAGTAAAACTGGCGTGAAATGCAATAGTACGTATAAAAATATATAAAATATCTAAAATATCTACGTCTAAAGTACCTACGTTGTAACGTTTTTCTCATTACATTCACAAAAGGATGAATCCGCGTAAAAACCCCATCAGATCTAATTTACCTTTATCGACCACCGCGTCTTCTTCAAAGTCCACTTTAATAAGAGCGGACATAGTCACTTCGAAAAGCTTGTTGTTGTCAGTATTTGAGACGTCGATGGCTCTTCTCTTCCTCCCGAATCCAATTTGGCCGTTGCTGCACTCGATCTGAAATATCGGTTACGTTGCACACTGACACAACAAAAGTGACGAAATTAGATATTGACATAACGATTTGAATAAAGCTCCGTGCTTGACGAAGATATTAATTTACCCCTTGGCACTTGTCCAGACAGACGTTAACAGTGCCGCGAAACTGAACGTAAGTGCTTTCTGGGAACTTGAAAGCCCGGAATTTCGCTGTCAGAAAGTCACCGTCTACTGTGTTGAAATTTTCGAATAAGTACGGATCCACGGAACAGCTGTGAACAAAACGAATTGTGCATATTTTTCTAGCAAAAACCATCGTGTAAAAGATCCTGCATACAGAGAAAACGTAACTGTAATTATTATTTTTAATTAAATTTTACCATTTTACAAACATTTTCTAAAAATTTATTTACTAAAAATTTCCAAGTCAAATGGAAATCCAGCTCTTACCCATTGATGATAATGGTTTCCTCCTGCGACTTGGTGTCCGTGACCAACATATATGTAACCAAGAGTCCATAAACAGGCGCCGAGCCATTGTCCAGGAAAATCTCCATCTGTAATGGCGTCCCTGGACTGACGTTCAACTCTCCGGTGACGAGATTGCCACCTTGCCTGACGCCGACTCCCAGTATCGGTACCGGCGCCGACTCGGAGATCTCTCCCCTGATGTCGATCACGCTGCCGGAGAGAACAAAAGATGGCGCATTAAAATTCCATCTACGGAAAGAGAGAAATAACTTTGCTTCCGGTTGGAATGGAAATAACACGCTGCCATCTGGCAAATGGCGAATTATCGAAGAAGCATCGAGAATGAAGATGCATTTGAATGTAATTTCCGGGCAAAAAAATACGAGCAAACAACATCAGGCTTGCAGCGTCGAATCTCGAGATTACGATGATCTGTGTGATTCACAGTGGTCAGCCGAAGCAATATTAATTCTGTTCTCGACACGGAAGCCGCCGCTGCCTCCGCGACCTCGGTCACACTTGACAGTCATCGAATCACAACATCGTCGACCTGAATCGCGTTTTACGCTTCTGCCGAGTCATCGTTTCGCTGTTTCCTTCGAACCGCGCTTACGCCGTTCGATAATCGAACTACGAAAACGGTACCAAAAACAGGGGACGATGACGAAGCCCGGGGGGAGAAAAAAAACCCAGAGACGTTCGAGGTCGACGAATAGTTTTTCTCGTTTGTTCGCATCTGTTATCTCGCGCGGATCTAATGGATAACTGGATCGGAATTTTCAATTGTCCGATCATCCCTCGACGACGCGACGGTGGTGATCCCTCAATCGCGATGGACGCAACCGATCGCGCAAGGCACGCAATTCTATCGACTTCGTGGAAGCAGAAACAGTTATCAAGATCGAGAAAGAATCTTTCCCGTGGTGCGTGCAGCCTCGACGACCCCGACGAGGTTCGGTGCCACGCGAGATTCCACGTGATAATTCAACAATAAAGATTTTACGGCTTCCTGGTTTGAGAGGCGACATCGACCATCCACGTCTAAGTGAACGATCGATTAGTTGCCAATAAATTAGCGCCGGGGGAAAGGAACGAGAGAAAAAAAAAATGAGAAGGCAAGCACATGGCTAACCAGCTGTGTGAGGATTCTTCGAGGGTATACTGGGGAAGAATGTCGCTTGGCGAAGTAACCTTCGTCGACGAGAAACGAGAAAAACCTGCGACAAGCGTTTGGTCTGTTGCTTGCTAATATTATATTGCTGGTTTAACCACGACCAGTTGGTATGCCGATAGCTGTTTATTACATCGTTGTTCTAAACTTGTGGTACAAGCGAAGTCGTAACAATTACGAAGAACAAAATTATGTTCGTGTCTCATTTAGTATAGGTAGAATTTGCCTGCTCCCTAGACAGACGAGAATATAAAATAAATTGGAAATGAAGAATTCTAGATAAGCTAGGGAATAAAAGTACGGGGTTTTTATTGTAAATTAATACCAGCCGTTCCCTCTTTCTTTTGATTATTCTCCTTTCCTTTCAATTACCTGATTTCACGATTTCAAAATTACACGAAATATATTAAAATTATTATATAATTTGACAACTGGAAGAGCAGAAAAAAATGGGATGAAAACATCGACGAACGGTAAGGTTTACTCGAATGAGGTTTCAACAGGTCGTTTAACGTTTAGAAACGGAACGTGGAGAACTGCTTCGAAGGGGTCGTTCAGTGCCTCTTCAGCGACATTTACATGTTCCGGGCAAACAAAAAGATCCTCTAGTTGAAACGTTTTACCAGGAATACGCGGAGAATACGAATGGCTGGAGAAGGTGGTTTTATCGAGTAACCAGGCAAAGGAAGAATAGACTCTGTGCGACATGATGTACACAAGGTTAAAATTACATTTCAGGTTTTCCAGCGCCTGCTTTGGCATAGTATCCATGCCGATGGATAAGTGGAACGTAGAATCATGAATCAACCTGTGGTGACCACGACTCGCGGAAAAACGTTCGTCGCCGTTTAGTTGGCACTCATTTGCATTAGAAAGCGACGGGCTTGAATTTCCTCTATACACTTCAACATTCCTCTGTTTCCCAATTCCTTCCAAACACATTGATAATAAAATCACCGACGAGCAAATTCATATCTAAGAAACTCGAATTGTACATCAAATTAGACTCAGAATTTCTTTTAATCCAGTCTAATCTAATCTAGTCTAATTTTTCTCCTTCGTTTAATCGTAGAATCAAAAGATTATAGAAACAGAGCCTTGCCTTTATAACACGAGGAGAAAGATAAACTTCTAGTCCATTTCTAGATTTTTCTTTCAATCTTTGTGGAAAATTAGAAATTGACAATTTTTTTAAAAAATAACCGAAGTATTCTTGGCAAGAGTATACTATAAATCCATAAATTTCCTCTTATTCAGTGTCTATAATGAATCAAGAATCAACATGCTCCTTCGATTAAACAGTTTCGCTACCTGTCTGTACGAATGTGATTAATTGCTTGCCACGAGATCCAGGAACGAAAATTAATCTTCTCTGACTAATTGTAAGTACGATCTTGTTTCACTGCTGCCCGTAATCCGGAAAAGTCTCAGCCGTTTAAATTATCGAAGAGTGAAGTGATTCGTACAACAGCAAGTCACAGATGGATGAAAGTTTCGCGAGATAATTTCATGCGATACTTCTTGCGGTTGCTTGCAGTGTATTAGACGAGGTTGTCCTTGATGAGAATACGTAATTACACGCGTTCGTGATCGCTTAACCCGTGAACAGCGAGCGAAGGCTAGCAAAATCCCGAGTCCATGCAGATATTTTACGTTTGTTACTTTCGACGTTGCTACGTCGAAGTATTATTAACTCTATTGTAATTTCTATTATATTGATGATTTTATTCAAGTAAATTTAACCATCGTGCATTGACGAATATCGAGACGCGTTCGAACGAATTGGAATGAATTAGCCAGCGAAGTAAATAGTAATTGAATAAATTCGAACGCAGATCAACGTGAATAATATAAGTAACAGAAGAGAGAAACTGAATATTAAGGTAAAAGATGAACTCACTCCGGTTCCTGGAAACCTGCTGGAAGAACGCTCCGTCGTACCGCGGTGTGATTGGCTTGGATCGAGATTCCAGGTTTCACAACGACTTCGGTGATAACACACTTTACAGTGAACGTATGCTTGCTGGAATCCGCGGGCTCCTCCACTATTATCCGATGAAAGTACACCTTCTGACCCTGTATATCATTATGCGTCTGTAATTTCGCTCGAATCCCAGGGATCTCTGATCGAAACAATGAAACGAGTCCTAACAACTTATCGCTAACTCTCAGCCACAAATCGTTCGATCTGTTCGTCGTTCGATCGTTCATCGCGATCCGTCCATTTTACTTCAGCCTCGATCCAACCCTCTTTTTTGCTCTACACATGGACTTGGAGAGAAAATTTTGACTTGGACAACTAAAATGTAAACGCCTTTCCTTTCGAAACGAGGATTGATCGATTTCCCTCTTTCACTTCGATCGACACTTCGTTCACTCTTGGCGAGCGATTTCGCTGACAGTAAAAATAGTTAGCAAACCGAGAAATGAGGGAAATCGGGCAACTTCTAATTTACGTAAGGTTTCACTTGTTTTGTGATCAAATTTACCGTTACTGGCATTTCAATTTCGAGTAAAAACGATCAGAGTGAAAGAAACGAGGCCGATCGAACGATCCGTAAATCATGCAGCGTCACTGTGGCCACTTTCAGTGAATTATTCAGTCGTTTTAATTATTCGCGAGTGACGCGCCCTCTATCAGCCATCAGAGGCTCGTAATTATGCCTTACCGTGACTTTGTTAACGACCCTCGTGATACCGCATCGCAACATGTCTTGCTCTAACAGCGGTAATCGGAACGTGGCAACGCCGTTGCTAAGCCGTGGTTTGCAAGCTTCGTCTGCGGAAACCAAGATCAGTTTTCAGAGTGTAAAATACGCTCGGCTTGCCACTTCTCTGCACAATATCTTCTATTCCCACTGGCGGCTATGCGCGCCGGCAACGCAGAAACGCGAAATCAAATCGATCTTTTACCTGGAAAGTCCTTCATCTGTTGCAGATATATCCTCGCCTGCGGGCTGCTCCTCACGATGTCAACCTCCATCCATTGCTCCGAGCATCTCACTTTGCTCTGAACTGAAAGCAAAAACATCCCGAAGGAATGTCAGTCGCGTTCTGTTTTATAGCGCGTGTCGAATTCGTGCGATTTCAATAATCCGACGGAAGTATGCTCGATACGCGAAAGTGAAATGATAATAATTAATAGACGTCAATGGTACCGAATGTATCATCAATGTATCAAATTCTACATCTTCGATTTGATGGGAATACATGTGAAGGGGACCTGCCGACCAAAATTCATCTTCACTTTGAATTTCAATGTCAAATTTTTTTTTTCCTTTTTTTCTTTGCATTGTACGAACCACAGGTTGCAACTCACTAGTTATCTTGAAAAATGGCAGGAAAGTTTCTTAATAATTGAATAATACGGACACGTGCGTCCTAACAGCAACTTTATGGTCCTGGACGCCTAGATATATTTCGAATTTTATTATTTGATTATCTATAGACTAGCACCGATGCTGCAACTATGATGAATCAAATGTTAGTGAAATCTAATCCAGAACCGTAAAGTCGCTGTTAGCACGCACGCGTCCGCAACGTTAAATGATTAAGGAATTTTTTGCCATTTTTCAAGAGAACTATCAGGTTCCTCAGGCGACCTAGTTGACAGTACAATGCAAAAAAAAGAAAAAAAGAAAAATTTTGACTTTGAAATTCAAGGTTAAGGTGATTTTTGCGGCAGGATAATTACATGTATTTTCATGTACCCTGTACCCTGTACACCATATCGTGGTATATCGCGATATCATACGGATTAGACGCGTTTCGGAAAAATGGAGGAGCAGGTCGCGAAGGAAGGAATCCCGTCGGGCGGCGAGCGCGAGGGAAAAGAAGAGGAAAAGTACGACGTAGCCGCAAACTAACTTGCAGTATACCACCGTAATTGCCCCATAAAGTCGTAAACGTCCCGACCTTGAAAAGTGAGCAGCCCGACACCGCGCGTTCGAGAAACCCGCGCTGCTGATGTACTTCCCTCTCGGCTTGGACCCTGTTTGTTCGCGGAACTCGACGATAGATACTTTCACTGTTCCGCGAGTAATGTCCGTGCGATACACCGAAACCACCGGTTTACATTATCGCGATGCAGGAACGTTCCATTCTAGTTGCGAAAAACGAAACGACCGGCGGAGCAGTTCATTCCCTCGCTGGATAATTAAATCTCCAACGATAAATCCCCGCGCGGAAAAAGCAAACGCAAACTGTTCCCATGATGCGCGGTTAATGCGAGAACGCACGGTATCGATACGATATCTAGCGATCGTTAAGTTTGCATCGATAATTCTGCTTGATTAAGCTAATTCTTTGACTCGACTTGATCGATAATTAAGATCTCCCCGTTCGATTGCAAAGAACCATCGTTTCGCGGAATAGTTGAAGCGTAGATACTGTTAGCGAACAATACTGTTAGCTGTCATAATTTACACAACAAAAATGAAGATTAAATCTGTCTCTGTTTGACTGCTCGAAGGCACCGGGTTCTGCAACGAAATTGAGACAATTAAATTTTTGGTCGAAATTTGAATCTACGATCATCTGCAACATCGTGTAATCGGAGCGTTGATCATGGAGCAACAAGCGCAATTCCTTGCGAGACTCGAGTATACGTACTTCCAGCAACGAGCAATAATTCACGGTGAAGTATCATCGTCGCGGGGCCAACACACCGTTAAAGAACATCCCGTACCTTCTCCAAGTCGCAGTCGGAGAAGTTTCACGCATCGTGTAGCTCCGTCTGCAAACGAAGGACCGAATTGCATCGGTTCTTGCATCGTTTCGAAGATGAATCGATAACGTTGACACGGATCAACAACGTTCGCCTCAACTTGTGAATCGTAACGAGCAATTAGACACGACTCTCTAACGTTTGTTTCCCCTCGTGGTTTCAGATGCAATTACTCGTTAGAGTAGAAAGTTCGCGACGATAACTTTCGCGATTTCCTCTTAAGGGGAGTAAAAATTCCTCGCGGTCGTTAAGCCGGTCGCGCTCGTCTCACCTTTGACCGGTCTCGCTTCGTGACACAAGCCTCAACGATGAAACGTCACCCGCATAGCTCGTGCATAGTTCGTGCATAGCTCGTTCACGGTTTCCCGTGCGTCCATCAGGCCGCGATTAACGCGCAAATTACGTGACCGCGCGGTGTGTGTCACTTTCAAATAGCCGGAGGGTTGGCCGTCTTTTCCATTAGCGAGTTTAAAGTGTTTCCCCAGGCGGCGCAACCACCTGTACGATTCTCCAGCAATCTCTCAACAGAGGTCTCTGACCTTAA